ATCCTCTGAGAGCCTTTGATGGAGAGCCGAGGTGGTGCAGTGGTTAGAGTGCAGCACTGCAGGCTACTTCAGCTGTTCAAATCTCACCGGCTCAGGGTTGACTCAGCCTTCCATCCTTCCGAGGTGGGTAAAATGAGGACCCGGATTGTTGTTGGGGGCAGTATGCTGACTCTGTAAACCGCTTAGAGAGGGCTGAAAGCCCTATGAAGCGGTATATAAGTCTAACTGCTATTGCTATAAAGCACAAATATTCTGATCTCTGGATCTGACAGTCCAACTTCAAAATGTGCTGCAAGTAATCTCAAGTTTTAGAGCCAACCTTGAAATATTTTGCACACCTCAAATTTTCAGAGAAGAGCAAGAACCTAAATAAAATCACAGAACACCAAAAAGAGAAAGAAAGAGCAGCAAAGCAAATAAAGTGATTTAAAAAAGGAACCATCCCAAAAGAAAGATATCCATAAAGGGATCTCAACAGGAGAGACATAAAGGAGCACACAGCCATCAGAAAAGACCCTGGCAAGTTTTTCCCTTACTTGGAAAGAGGGCCTTGGCCAGAGAGCTGAAGGACGTGCAGAGGATCAGCCGGAGTAGATAATGGGGAACTTGCCTCTTCCAGTGTAGACAGGGCGCATCCGCTGCCTGGAGTTATTCCAATTGCATTAAAACACGTATGAGAGTCACTTCAAAATCCAGGTCCCAGTTGCCAGTGCACCTTTCCTGCACCTACCCCAAATTGCAAAAGACCTCTGACCCTTCACATGGATGCCAGGAACACTGTGGCTGGTTGGAAGAGGCTTCACATTCTCCAGCACTCTAGAAATATCTTCACCTGCAGAGGCTGCTTCCTGGGAAGCCAGTCAGCAGCTCCGGGTGGGTCAGGATAAAATCTAGTGTCCAAGAACTGTGGCTCTCCAGATGCCACAGGGGAATGACAAGAATCCCTTTGCTTTGAGAAACCCACAGCCCTATTCAATACTTTTCTCAACATTGCTGATCCTGGTTACAACATACTCAAAGCTGTCTGCACAAGAAAAAGTGTAATGCTACAATATTCACCTAGGAACAACCTGTGGTTACAACAATAAATTTGCTTATTATACTGAAAACAGATATTTTGGTAATGCAACAAGTGCAAATGGGTATTAAACATTCTATCTGAAATGAACCCCCTCCCCTCTTTCTGTCTTCGCACAATTGGGGGGGGGGGGCATTCAACTTTAGGGCTCTGAACGGCAGGCTCAGATCGCCCTCCACAAAGTCATGGGACAAGACCAAGCAGTTTCTATTCCACTTACATTTAGCTCACAATACGTACACTGTATGTACTATGTTTCTCACCACCCTGATTAAAATTACTATTCATTAAAAAGTTGGTTTACAAAAAGGAGTTACTTGTGGAGGCCTGGGTGGCTCACCTGTTGAGCTGTTCTGGCCAAACATGTCCTCCTGCGTAGAAGAGACAGGCTCAACATCCTCCAATGGCCAAGGATGAGGGTTCTTCACTGGTGGTGTCCTCTCCAGGAGGCGGCAGGCAGAAACGGAGCTCAAACTGGAGAATTCAAGTGCAAATGTCTCTCATGGTCCAGCATAGGTATCAACTAGTAACTTTTCAGGCAGTCAAAACAAATCAGATGTACAGGTGTACAAGGCTCAGAGAATTTGAGCTTTTCAATAGCAGATAATTAAAAAGCTGCAAACTCGGTCCTCCGAGAAAGGATTGAGAGAAATCGGATCACATAGCCCTGAGAAGAGGGGAATTATGGTGGCATATGTCAATTGCCTGAAGGGATGTAACGCAGGCCAACAACATCCTTCACCTCAGAACACAGAATAACAATAATCCCGAGTTACAGGAAGGCAATTCCAGGTGGAAAAGCATCTTAGTAGCAGGAGTAGAAAGACAATGAAGCTCTCTGCCTAGGAAAATGCCTTAGTCTGTCCATCTGCACAATTCCTTCCAAAGCCGCAATTGTACCATTTCTTTTGTAAAGGCCGAGTTCCTTGAGGAATTGCTTGTCTCCTGTAGCGTCTGCCCAGCTGGCCTGATCTGGCCTGCTTGCATGCTCTGGATTCCTTCAACAGTGTCATCTCCGAGGGCCCTGCAAGAGGCCCTTCCCGGAAGCAACACCTGCCTTCTAGAATGAGATTCCCCCACGTGGGAAATGGGAAACCCCACCCTGCTGTAGCTTAGAAGGGCTGTTCCTGCAGGCCTTTCACAAAAGAGAAGGAGGCCCCATTGCTCCGTTACTGTCCAGTTTATCATTCATGTCATCTCTGCATTTGTTTTAGTTGTGGTGAAATATGGGTGAAATACGCCCAGTTGGGTGAATTACGCCCAGTTGGGTGAAAAAGAAATATGACAGATATTTACCCTTCAGAAGAATCACTGCTGGGTTTCCTTACTGTAAAGCCCACTTTATCTTGGTCTGCAGGTGGAAATAAAAAAGAACCAGGAATTGATGTTTGGTTATGAAATTGCCACAATGACTTTACTGGAACATGAAAAAAGCTGACGTTAGACTAGAGCAAGTCAGCAGCCAGCCAGACGAAGGGGTGAGATGGTTAGTGGGTGGGGTGCTGGCCACCCCGCTGTCCCTCCTGCCGCCTTCCAGGGACCCTGCCCAGCAGCCCAAAGCCTGAGCTGGGGCTCCAGGCGTCCCGGAATGGAGTTTTGCAGTCTCCCAATTCTTTTGAGATCTATTAAGACAAGTAGCCCATCAGGGCCTCAAAGCTGGACGTTTTACCTCAATTGAAATGCAACTTTCAAAAGAGCCCACAAAATCCGTTGCCCGGATTTAAAACCCGTCCTTCCAACAGCTCAGGCCAAAGCCCCGTCCTCCGCCTCTTTCCAAGCAGGCACCTTTCCCGGGGCTTCCCCCTGGCAGAGAAACCGCCCGCCATCCGAGGCAGGGCGGAGGGGGAGCCCAACCTTCGCCCTCCGCGCCCATCACGCCCCGGCACAGCCTGTGCCGCCCCGCCGCAGGTTCCTCGGCCGCTTTAACCGTCTCTGGTTCTGCCTTTCGCTCGCCATCGCCCGACTGTGCCGGCAGAGGGCAAGAGGCCGCGCCGCCGCCGCCACCCCTTCGGAGACGGAGCGGGGCGGCCCGAGGCCCAGGAAGCGCTCCCGATCCGGGCTGGGCGAGGGCACCAGGGGGCCTAAGGCCGACGCTGTGAGGCGGAGAGAGGCACCGGCGCCCCGGAGGCCGCGCCCCGCCCGGCCCCCTCACCTTCGCCGGCCTCCGGGCACACAAGCGAGCGCGGCGGCGGCGNCACATATACAAATGATTCTTAGTTAATGATCACTTGTTCATCAACTGTTAAAACTTATGGTGCTGAACAAAAGGTACTTACAACCAGTCCTTGAAGTTCTGACTGTTGAAGCACCCAGCAGTCATGTGATCACAATCTGGATGCTTAACAACCACTCCAGCTTTCCAACTGTTGCACATGATCACGCAAACTTCACAATCTTCCCTGCCAGCTTCCCACAAGCCAAGTCACTGAGGAAGCCGGCAGGAAGTCAGAAGTCATGATCATGTGAGATTCTCGCTTAACAACCTATGGTGATTCACCTTCACCATAGTAACTGGGGACTGCCATCACTAATTGGTACAATCATGTGACATTGCACTTTATGACTGCATCACTTAATGATGGAAATTCCACTTCCAATTATTGTCACTAAGCAAGAACTACCTGTATTAATATTGTTCTAAGATCAAGAAAATCTTTTTAGGGTCATGAAAATTATATTCAGCCAGTGTTAAGTGCTGTACAGGACAAAATAGTTTGGGAGAAAACGCTATACTTGCCCTTTCATCAGTAAAAAATTAGAGTGTTCTACAACTATGACCTTTAAAACAATTACATATCGTGCCTTCTTCATTTCTTCAGATTTGCTCTAATGAAGAATTTTAGATGGAATGGACAGATTTCAGATGTGGTAGCTAGCTCTACTGAGGTTCCCAACACAGGAATAAGTAAGAATGTCACTTATAGCATATGCACAAATTAATTTTTTACTGATTGTTAAACATAATGCATCTTATATTTGTTAATCAGAATCTTGATAGTTATGATCTATAAATGAAAACCCTAAAAGTGCTAAGTGCATGAAATATGGCCCATGCATTACCTCTTCATACTTTTCAACAATGTCCATTGTGGTTATCAGGCTATCCCAGTTGATCCGATAAGGTCCAGGCCGTATGTGATCTATTATTCTATTGGTAACATCTTCCACAATACCTTCTGTCTTGTAACTAAAGACCAGATTTAATAGAAGAGGGTTTAAAACTGTTAAAACTTACAATAAGAATATTTGTAGAAGTCTTTAGAAGTTGTCGAAAAACCAATACACCTCTGTAGTAAGTGTCTAATTCTTCCAAGTGTTTATGCACAAATCCCATTTGAAAGGGTGGAGTTACACTTATAAAAATTAGTTCCTCTCGACTGGATTATAATAAATAAAAGGTAAAGGTTCCCCTCACATATATGTGCTAGTCATTCCCAACTCTAGGGAGCAGTGCTAATCTCTGTTTTAAAGTCGAAGAGCCAGCACTGTCCGAAGACGTCTCCATGGTCATGTGTCCAGCAGGACTAAACGCCGAGGGCGCATGGAACATTGTTACCTTCCCACCAAGGTGGTCTCTATTTTTCTACTTGCATTTTTTATGTGGTTTCGAACTGCTTGGTTGGCAGAAGCTGGCACAAGTAATAGGAGCTCACTCTGTTATGCAGCACAAGGTATTCGAACTGCTGAACTGCCAACCTTTCTGATTGACAAGCTTAGCTTCTTAGCCACTGAGCCACCGTGTCCCTGGATTATAATACTGTGTCCTATAATTCAGTGTACTGCACTTGCCAGAAAAACCAATCTGGAGGTATATTTACTCTTCAGTTGAAAAAAAAAAAGTTCACATGTTTCAAACACAGCTAATTGATGAGTTTAATATTAAGATCCAATGTTATAGTTATGATATCCAAGTAAATAATTGTAAGGAGCTATGGAGATAATCTTAGAGAAAACATCCAAAAGCCAGACAACGAGGAAGTATGTGTTAAGCCCAAGGAGTCAGAAAAGTCTTAGAAAAACACTGGGCCAGTTTCCCCTGACTCTCTGGAGTATAAGAGGGAAGGAAAAGAAAACACAGGCTGATTTGCAAGATTCTGTTACCTCGGACTATTTCAATATAATTCTCATCTTCAAAACGAGACAGTTTTGTGATTATGGTATACATTATAGTTCTGATAATGTACTGGTGGGTGCCCAATTTTTATTTTTGCTCTAATACTGCAAAATCTTATTATTTATTTTGATTAAGACAGCACATATACATGCACATGTAGTTTAATCCTGTACAAATGTTTTAATTAAAGTTGAACTTACAGACACCCACTGAATTCTTCTGATGGTTTACGCCAAACAGTAACATCTTTCTGCAGAAAAACAAAATGAAGGATCACCGTACTGATATGTTATTAAAACATTCAGTGACTCATATCTAAGAATGTGGAATATAATTAAGATGTTTAAAAAGTGTATTTCAGACCTTATTCAGAGACCTTATTAGAAGGAATTTTTCACATACAGGCAAACCTTAAAAACTTCCTGAATACAGAAACATTATTTTAAAAAATAACAAAGAATATATACAATAATTACTATTTTGCATATCCATCTTCATTCATTGATACCCATGCATCATCCCTAAATTGTTTTATTTATTTATTTATTGAATTTATATTGCTGCCTATTTGCCCATGGCGATTCAAGGTGGCTTGCATAATATAAAACCATATTTAAAACAATAAAAACTAACAAAAAGAATCAAATAAATTAATATAGTACAATATAGCAAAATCACCCCCTACTTCCCATCCCCCGTCCCACCTTGGCGACAGCAGATCACACAAGCCACTTAATGGCCTGCATCCCGTTCAGGTTCCCCAGGCCTGCTAGCAAAACCAGGTCTTCAGTGACTTCCAGAAGAGTATTAGAGTCGGGGCCATTCTGGGAGAATGATGTTGCAGAGAGAGGGAGCTACCATGGAGAAGGCCCTTCTTCCGGGTCCCACCAGGCATATGTCCCTCGGGGATGGGACCCTGCCTCCCCGCTCTGATGAGTCGGGTAGCAAGAGATGGTCCCTCAGATAACCTTGTCCCAAGCCATGAAGGGCTTTAAAGGTAACAACCAGCACCTTGAATTGCACCCGGAAGCAAATCAGCAATCAATGCAGCTCCCGCAGGAGACATTGTAGACATTACTTAAATGTGAAATAATTAAATAATATATTTAAACTGATCCAACTTAGAAACTAAGTACATTTTATACATTTTAAGACCACTGCAGATAGAGAATGTTAATAGCATTTACGTGAAAACAATATAACCTATAATTTATCACTATCAGATAGTAGCAACACATCTTCAAAGGTTTGGTTGGTCGTTTTCACTCTTTTGAAAACTACAAATCACCATATTGTGTTCTATTTTTCTAAAACTAGCACAGCAAATATGGTCATCAACACAATTTAATATAATATAAATGTTTACATTGATGTCTTATTCAAATAAGAAAACTTGCTCAATAACTTACTGTTTTCCTAGCAACTCTCCATTCATTGTCATCAATGTTATAATACTGAATCATTGTATTTTTTATCCTTGTAGCCAAAGAATCTATATCAGAAATATCTTCCATTCTTTTTGTAACCTGTAAGGGGAAAAAACAATTTAAAATCATCTGATAAATTTAAAGTTTAATCAAAAGGAAGGATACAAGTCAAGCGCTAAGTATTCTTTCAAATAATTCCGTTAAATTAAAACAACTCTTCCCACATTCCCAACTATTTCAGACCTAACCACTGACACCCAACGAAGAAAAAAAAATATAATCAGAAATCTAGTAACACATAAGCATCACTGACCTGCTTCCCTCCCCATCTCCAGATATCTCAATTTAAACCGTACAACAGTTTTTATGCCTTTCATAAAATGAGATGCAAGGTCAGCACAGCTTACGCTTTTAATCAAATTTGGTGGTCCCAAAAAGTACCATCAGATTCCACCCGTAGCCTAACAAAGTCTCTCATCTTCCGATGGGGAAAGGAAAGGAGATATCACCGCTTTGCCTTCACTGTGGTCCGACGCCCCCTGACTTTAAGCCTTAACTATCCTGACATTTCCACGGGTTAAAAACGGCGATGGACAATCAGGTACCCTACCCGACGTGCATCCAAACACGGTGAAAAAGGCTCCGCAGGTGATGTAACGCTCACGTGTCGAAATCTCCCGAGGTTGGTGAAATCAAGCAAAGGGCAGCCTTCTCTGATCTTTTCTGCAATCTTCTCCTACTTACCGGGGCGAAGCCGGGGGAGGTTAAATTGTCAAAGCCTCGACTCTAACGAAGGGTCTCCCAAGGCAGCGAATGGGATTCCTCTAGCCCCGAGCGGCTCCCCGCAACTAAGGCGCTTCCCTCGCCTAGTTTCCGATCTCCTCACCAGGTCGAGCGACTCATTCACGTAGCCAATCCCAACCCAGCTGGCATTTCCCTCGCAACCAATAAGCAGGAAGTCTATCTCCCTCCCCACTCTTTGTTTTGATTCTACTTGCGTTTTGGTACAGGCGGCCTGCGTTCATTGGCTGTTGATTGAGTGACGGCGGAATCGCGCGTGGTAACTGGCCAATAGGAAAATAGAATGACAGAGTGGTGGGGGAGAGAAAAAAGAGCAGTAAAATTTTGCTGCTCAGGGTTTCTTGGCTTTTTAGCCAAGGTGAGGCAGATACTTTGGTATCACTCAGAGTTGGATGGTGGCTACATCAGAACACACTCAGGTCATGAAACATTAGAACATGTTTCCAGGTGACAATCCCTTTGGAAAGTTAAAAAAAGAATTGAAGTTGCGGCAGTATTGGGGGACAAACGTGGTCAGGTGTTAGTGAAGTTTCAGCTCCCAACATCCTTACTGGCCATTATCCCTGCTTTTGCAGGGATATGATCTGACCAAATTTTTCTGACTGTTTTCTAATAGAATAGAATGACAGAGTTGGAAGGGACCTTGGAGATCTTCTAGTCCAGTGGNCCCCCCCCCCCTTCCTGCAGGCTCTCTCATTCTCAGTCTTTAGCTCTTCAACCAAGCCGCTCAAGGAGACCGCCAGAGGATTCCGGGCGCCTGCCCGCTAGAGTGGGTAGCCGACGACGCTCCCCTCGGAACCGGCTTCCTTGCAGCGGCCCGAGATAGCGGCGGCCCCGCCCGTTGCAAACAACTCTTTCTCGGCCTCTCCGGAGCAAGGGCGGCGCGGGCGGCGGGCGAGTGTCGCAGTTGCGGCGCGGGCCAGATTTTCGTCCAGTTCGCAGGGTCACGTGCTGCCGGGCCGGGTAGCCTCCTCTCTCTCGGAGCCTGGCGAGGCGCGGCCGAGAGCGTCCACGTGCTCGGGGAAGGGCCAGCTGCGCGTGGTCGAGCGCTTTTAAGAGCCGGCTCCCGCGGCCTCTGCTGAGTGCGAGTCGTGGGCTGCGGCTATGGAGGCGCCCGGCGACGGAGGGCGGCGGAGGCGGCACGCACTGCTGGCCGTGATCGGGGAGATCGGGACGGAGCCGGAGCGGGAGGCGCTGCGTCACAGCCTGGAACGCGGTAAGCCGTCGAGCGGCCGGGAGCCGAGCGCCTTCAGCACCTTGGACAGGGATCCGCGGCCGCTGCGGCGCCGGGCCGGGCGGGGTGGGAGGCGCGTCTCTCCGCAGCGGCTCGCGAGGACTCTGCGGCCGGCCTGCTCCCAAAGCCCCCTCCGGATCCCGTGGCCACGATCGCTTCCCGAGGGGAGTCTCGGCGGGCTTCGGGCAGAGGGGCCAACTGGCCACTTGACAGCCGAGCTCCGAACAGACCCTTGAATTCCGCGGCGCTTCCGAAGGCTGAGCTACCAGCCGCGCTCGGCGCCTCCGAGCAAAAGACGAGGCAAGAGGCGGGCCGCAGGGAAGGCGGAAAGGCCGGCCTGGAACTCTTGGCTGCGGACCGCCCGACGGAAAGTAGCCAAAGCCCCCCTCCACCCCCGCCTCCGAGCAATGGTCCCGGGGAAGGCGAGGGTGCGGCGCTCCAGGACCTTCCCGGCAGCTTCCCGCTGGCAAGGAAAGTTTCCGCCTCTGCGCCTGGAAGCCGCGGGAACTCGGAGCGGTGGGCTGGCTCCGCCCGGTGCAGCAGAGGCCTTGGGAGAAAATGGTGCAGTGCAGCTTCCCCTTTCCTCTTCCCGGAGTAGCGAGCGGGCGAAGAGGGGAGACGGGAGAGGCGCTTGGTTTCTCCCTGACCTCCTCGGGCACTCGCTTCGGAGGAGCCGTCCGGGCGTTCTTTGCTTCCAGGGGCTGCCTTTGGATCAGGCCTGCCAACGAGCCGCCTTCAGCGTGATCCAATGGGCGCCTCTAGGCAATCCAGCCCAACCCGCTGCTCAGGACAGAAACCCAAATCCCCGAGAGGAGCCTTCAGGCTGGAAGAACAGTCCGCCAGACTGACCTGCCTTCTAAGTTGGTCCGAGGGGCAACGGCTCATCCAAAGCTCCCCTGAAAGCTTCCACGGCTGGGCTGGGCTGGGCTTAGGTCTGCAGCTTCTTAACCTTCCCCCTACTGCCCCCTCCCCTTTCCTGAAGCGGCAGAAAAGAAAATCGACTCTTCCCGCTGCTGATCCTGATGATTCCGTGCCATGAAAACCATAACTTCCACTCGTAGAGGAAGGCGAATTCCCCGCAGATGCCACCCTCTGCCCAAGCAACTCTCATGCAGGGGAGGAGGCACCAATTCGCTGGATGATTGTTGAATTGTTTATTGTTGGATTTTGACTGATTATTAAATCAGTCAAAATCCAACAATAAAATTCATTATTCCACACACGGCAGTTCGAAGAACTTATTTTCTTCGACTCCTCTTCAGCTACTTGAAATGTTAGTCTTCCCTTCACAAGAGTTCTAATTCTTTTTTTTAAAGATTTTTTATTTTTATACATCTCATTGCCTGAAGGGTTTGATTCCTGAGTGTCATACAGTTCAATACCAATAAACTTAGCAGCATTATTCCTAGTTATTACATTTCATTTTCATTTTTAGTTTTACTAACACTAATTTCTACTATCATCCTTCAATTCTAAACCTTCTCATAGATGATAATTGTATCATCTTAACATGTTTTTGCTATTTTCCCCTCTTATTTCTACCCCTTTTCCCCCTTCCCCTATCATTCAAAGATGTCATCCTGAAAACTATTTTTCAGCCTCTATAATTCTAATAATATTAGTAATTACATTAATAATCACATTACTACCTTACTAATATATATTCAAAAATTATTTTTGTCTCACACCACATAAAGAGCAGTTATCCAACATATAATTCTAATAGTCATACACATTATAAGGTATTTTCATAAAATATTGCTTTACATTCTTTTCTTTTCCCTTTATCCCACATCTTTCACCCTCATCCAAATTTTTAATCATGTTTTTTTTGTCTCCCATACACTTCTTTAATTCTTTTATTTCACCTACTTTTGAATCTGCATTGTAACTATGCCCTCTAATTTTCTCTCCCTTGGCCCCTTTCCCCCACTGTCTAATTCTATGACTACCTGTTCTAACCCCTTTTTCTTCTCTCCAGCTGTCTTCCTGCTTCTCCTGTTTCATTTTCATGTCTTTTAGAGTATTTCCCTTCTGTTCTACTCCTTTATTCACCATCAGTTGTACTAATATCTTCTTGTTGTTGCCCTCTTCTTGTTGATTTCCCAATTCTGCTGTCTCCTCCGCTCTTTCTGATGATTCCATTTTCCCTCATAGTCCTGTTTTTTACTTGTTGTTCCTGATATTTTCATTTTTTTAATCTATACATTCTATACAACCAAAAATTTCCTTCATCTTGTGTTGTTTTATAAAATCCTTAATGTCTTGGTACATCAGCTCCATTTCATTTCTCCACTTGTTTCCATTTTACAATCAATCCAATTTAAGAAAAGAAGGCAGGGGGTTGTCCACATCTCTTCCAATCACTTTGATTTGCTCAACAATATTCAGGGTCACTTGACTAAAGTTCTCGCTTATTGTATAGGTCTCTAGTAATTTTTAGGTACTGGTAAATACTTATAATCCAACAATGTAAAAGGTCCCAACGTTGCAGTTTTCCTTTTAAGCAGCAGATGGTGCTCAAACTTCAACTTGGTACTGTCTCTCTGCCTAGTGCTGATTTTAATTATTTTAAATTTGTAAATCCAGGAGGGCAACATTTATAATAATAAAAAACAAGCTCCAAATCAGATTGCTTTAATGGTGATGTTTTTAAAGAATTTTCCACATGTTTGCTGCTTCATTTGTTGAGAACTGATTCCTTAGCTTTTCAGAGTAGCTTCTCTTTGCTGCTCTGATCTCCCTTGTTAATATGTTTCTGGCCTGATTGTACAATATTCTATCGCCTTTTCTGTAGGTTTCTTCTTTGGAATTATGTAGTTGCTTAAATTTAGCTGTGAACCAAGGTTTATTGTTACTGTATATTCTCGGTTTTCTGGTTGGCACACATAGGACTTCACCAAAACTGACATATGATGTTACAGTATCTGTTAGTTCATCCAAATCTGCAGAGGCATCTTCAAATATATTCCAATCAGTGCAGCAAAGCTTTAGCTTTGCCTCCTCAGTCCAAGTCCTCACTGTTGGTTTCATGGTTTTAAGTCTTTGTCTATAAGCAGGTACAGATGAACCATGCAATGATTAGAGTATCCCACAGCTGCTCGTGGTAAATACCAATAAGCATCTTTTAATGTTGTGTAGCAATAGTCTAAAGTATTCTTGCCCCTTGTGAGACAATTGACATGCTGAAAATATTTTGGTAGCTCTTTCCTTAAGTTTGCTTTGCTTAAATCTCCTAAAATAATTGAAAGTGAATCTGGGTATTTAACTTCAGCTCACATAATCTGGTCAGATAGAGTTCGTAATACATTGTTTACATAAGCTTGTGGAGGAACATACACAGCAATTAGGAGAAATGAGGAGAACTCATATGGAGAATAGTATGGTTTGCTATTGATAATTAATGTCTCTAACTCCACATCACAGTAGTTCTTTAGTATAGTTATGTCTCTGGACCAGCAGTCATTGATATATAAACATAAGCCTCCTCCCTTCAGATGCATTTGCAATTCTGTCTGCTCCTTGTATATGAAATCCTGGAATTTGCAGGCTGCTATCTTCAATTGACTCATTTAGCCAGGTTTCAGTGAAGCAGAGAGCTGCTGAGTTGTAAAAATCAAAATTGCATCTATTTAAAAGAAGTAATTCATCCATCTTGTTAGAGAGTGAGCATAAATTAGTCAGAAGGAGTGAGAGGTTTTATCCCACTTTTTCTTAGTCTATTCAAAATTCCCCTTCGCTAACCCCTTTTTTGCCTTTGCCATCTCTTCTTTTTTTCCTGTTTATTCATTATTCGGAGGAAGTTGTTTCTTCCTGTATTAAAAATATACAGAGGAAATATATAATGGTATGTATAATAAAGTCATTTCCAAGCTTCATTACAAGTATAAGTAAATTTAGTGATCTTCATGTCCTCCAAGGTTACAAACAATTACCATATCTCTTAATCCAATATCCCATTTCTTATCTAAAACAAATCCATAAAATATCATTTTTTCATTCCTGATGTCAGCAGAAAGTCTGTAAAGGTTTGCCAGAGGTAACACCACATCTTGTTTTAATCTTGATCAAATAAACCAAATTTATATTCCTTTATTTTACTTCTAACAGTCTTAAGCTTTCATTCAATCAAATATTGTCATTGTCAGGTTGTTTGAAAACTTCCTGGGATTCCACTCAGTTGAAAGTTCATGATCTTATCCCCACACCCAAAAATCCATCACATGGTCCAATCTTCTTCGGCCACGCTGGCATTTCCACCCAGCTGGTTCCGGTNGGCGGCGGTACCAGCAGCGCCCGGGGATTCCACCAGCGCGCGCGCGGACCTTTGGGCAGCTGTTCCAAACTCTCCCCCTGCTGCTGTACCTCTCTTCCTGCGCCCTGGCATTCCCCCGCCGAACTGGGAATGTGCAAAAGCCGGAGGGGGACGGGGCGGGGGGAGGGAGGGAACCCTTGCTGCAGTAGCAGCGGTGGCGGCACGAAACCGAGAGCTTTCTCACGGAGATGCCTGCTCCTGCCAGCCCCGCGAGGGAAAGCAGGGAGAGGAAAAACCACAGATGGACCGGGCGTTTGAGGCGGTGATTAACTGAGGCTCAGCCTTCTGTTAATGCCCGGCCCGATGCCTAACATGCATCGTGAATGCCCCTGAGAAGAAGGGGCGAAGGGCCCTACCCACGTTTAATAGCTTTTCAAACATTTCTAACTTTAAGAACTCCCTTAGTCTCCCACACCAAGGGAGAAGGGGGTAAAGGCTGGTGAAAAGCAAGACTTGGATGTCAAGAAAAAAGTTGGTGAATATATTAGTATAGCCTTTGGCTAGATAGAGTGCATTTTGGCCATGTCTCTGCCATGGCAAATCAAACGAAGTGAGAAAATAATCGATAGACATTCCTTGACAACCTCCAAATTAACTATCTCCTCTATAATTATCCATGTGAAAACAGAATTGTGAGTTCTCTCCATCCATCCATCCACTTGAAAGG